ACTTAAAATCTAGACCCTACGAAGGAGTCCTGCAAATCACCCAAACAACGAAACAAGCCAGTGGCGTCATGATGCCAGCGGCTTGGGAGGCTGAGGCAGGAGGATCGGAGGTTCTAACTTGCCTCAGCAAGTTAGCCAGGAGAGGGAGACCCTAAGCAACTCAGGGAGACCCTGTCTCTAAATAAAAGAGGGCTGGGGATGGGGCTCACTGTTAAAAGTCCCCCTGGGTTCGGTCCCCAGTACCGACCAACCAACCAACCAACCAGCCAAAACAAAAACGAAAATAAAACAGGAGCCCCAGTAGAAAGATGGGCGGGGGGTGTGCTGGCAGTTAGACTTCTGCACAACAAGCCTGAGAAGAGAATTCAGACTCATTAGTAATCAGACAAATGCAAATTTAAATACACCGAGATGTTACTTTGCATATGTTAGACTGTCAAAATTTAGATATCTGGGTAACAGCTAACGTTAGCAGAGACTGAGCTGCAGGGACTCCTGAGCCTGTGGAGAGACGCAGACCGTCAAGGGACGCTGGGTGAGCTGAGCTAAGTGTGGACACATCTCCTAAGGCATCAGTTCCAAACCCGCAGGAAATACTTCTGAAAGCCGTCGGCTGGTCCACGGCAGACGTGTAGGAGGGGCTGTGCAGGTGTGTCTGTGGGTCTGGAGCTGAAGGTCCTCTGCGTGGTCTTACGAGGGTGGACAGTGAAGAGGGGACATATCATCATGGACAACTGTGCAGCCACTGGGAACAGTGGATGGCCGTAGTCCCAGCAACACGGACAGGTCTTGGAGGAAAATAAGCCATAGCCCGAGAGCTGTGGCACACACTGTGTCCATAGGTTGACACAGGCTCAAAATACGACAAGCACACCTCTCCAGGACTCACCCGACCAACAGGACGCGGCCAGTGCTGGACAAGTGTTGTCTGTGGGGAAGGCGGTGGGAGGGGAGGGGAGATGAAAGGGAAAAAATAAATGAATAGAACAACAGAAGAAAAAAAAAAAAACCCACGTGTCAAGTTTCCCTCCAGGCTCCTGGCCTTGGCCAGAGAGGAATGTAGTTCCATGAGGACGGGACCCTGTCCATTTCTTCACCCTCAATTCCCAGCACTGAAGCCCATGCCAGGCCCATATGGACGCTCAGGAAATGTTCGGGTGATTCCATGAGACAACACATGAGTTGATGGGCAGAGGGCTTTGCAGAGGCAGCGCTGGTATTTGTCTGGCCCGGTGATTTGGAGTCGGGTGGCAAGATTTCCCTCCTAGCTGCGCCAGACACTGCCAGCAAGATGATGCCACCTCTGAGCTTCAGTGTCCTCATCTGGAAGCCACCTCATCTGCTTGGAGCCTCCAGGGGCTATTTGTAGTCGATGCCCAGCAAACTTCCATGCCCACACCTTGGCTCCGTGGAGTGAGGAAGGCAGGCACTTCTGGTGACATTTAGGTGGACCTGGGTGGCTATATGCTGCGGTGGTCTGGGTACTTCACCATCCCCAAGTAATTTTTCCCTCTAGACAGGGAGGCTTTGTTCTCTGCAGCCTCCTGTGGAAATGCTCAGATCTCCGGGAGGGGGTCACCTTCAGCCGTCTGGCTCAGTGGATGGGGACAGTTGAGAGCCACACCTTACCCTGGGAATGCCATCGTGAAGCCAGAGGGACACTGAGAGCTAAATGCTGGGAGTGCCGCCTTGGAAATTCAAGCAGAGCCCCTCTCCACACCTCCAGCCGCTCCTCCCTGGCATCACTCCCACCCCTGTCCCCTGGGTGCTCTCCAGGGTGCTCTCCAGTCCAGCCTAAGGCCCTCTCTGGCTCAGGGTGAGAGCCAGGTCCTGGCCATGGCCACATAAGCCCTCACGACCCGGTGGAGACCCGCCTGCTTCCTCTGTTCCAGCCACTTGTCTTGCTGCTCCTGCAATCCGTCCCCCTCTCCTGCCCAGAGCACCGCACTTGCTGGTCCCTCTGCCCAGAACCGGCTTCTCTCGTCCTCCGCCCGGCCATGCCCTCTTATCTTCCAAGTGCCTGTCCTTCTCCAAGAGGCCCTCCCTGTCCACCCGGGTCAAGATAATCCGCACGGTCCCGCTGCACCCCACCATGCAGCTAATTTCTTTTAAAACATGCACCAAGGTCTTACTCTTTATCATTTTTAAAAAAATTGCTTTTAGTTACCTGGTTCCCCCAGGCCGACCAGCTGAGGGGAGGGCAGGGCTGGGTCAGAGCATCAGGTCAGAAGCTTCGGATCCAGTCAAAAGCAAGTGGAAATCCTGGGACAGTTATGAGCAGACAAGAGACAGGATTCAGTGTATGAAATGTCACATCTTTGGGGGGGCTTGGCCAGGAGGCAAAGGCGGAGAGAGGGGAAGATGCATGCAGACAAGATGGCTGTACCTTGGACAAGGATCAGGATGAGGCTTGAAGGGAAGTGGACTGGCTATCGATACAACCCTGGGGTGCACCCACTGTGCACAGAGAAAGGAGGAGGAGAGGAAAAGGGCCAGAGGGGGCAAGGGGCTGACTTTGGGGCACCTCGTCTGGCTCTGTTTTTCTCCACTAGGGCAGGGTGTCACTGATGTGTCCCCAGCACGCACTTATTCATCAGGCAGCAAATGTGTGTGCGAAAGAATAAACCAGCAACCCCAGCAGCTGGCCTGCTGTGGCAGCCGAGGCCCTGCCCTCTCCAGGCAGACTCCGGTGTATCCCCGTTTTCGGTTGTTTGGGGCACCCTTTCCCACCGGACAGGGCTCCCCAGGGGAAGACACGCCCTTCACCGGGCCTGACATGCCAGGACCTCCCAGGAACCAGCTGTCCGACTGAAGGGGCTGGAGGAATGAGTCCCGGGCTCTGCAGCCAGCTCGCTGGCGCGCTCCAGCTTGCTCAGTGTTTCCTCTCCGCAGGTCCCACCAGCGGCCACGCTCCATGTTGATTCGTGGTGTTCATGTCCACCCTCCTCTACTAGAATCTCATCCCGATCTGCAATTAGATCTGGGGATCTAGAATGCAAGCTGGCTAGAGCCGGGCTATTTAAATTGCCCTCGGCCCTCCCCGCCAGCTCCAGCCCCCTCCCGGCTCGCTCTCCGGCTGCGCTGATTCCTGACTGACACATTCATTCACTTTTGTTTATAGTCTGTCTCCAGGCAGCTCCACGGGGCCGGATGTTGGCGTTTGGCTCACAGCTGTATCCAGACGCCTGTTGGTGCCTTGCACACAGTAGGCGCTCAGCCCCTGCGATGGCAGGAGGAGGGAAGGCGGGATCTGCGGGCAGGCTGTGGAGGTAGCGGGGTGGGAAGGGCAGGTGGCCCGGCGACTGCGCTTGGCCCAGGCCCCCGCGCGCCCCCGGCCTCGCGGGCAGGCGGCCCGGGCAGGGAGGAGTTAAGCGGCGTGCGCGCTTCCGACCCGCAGGTGGCGCCGTCCCGCCTCGGTGCCGACTCCCGGAGCTCCGAAGTGCGGGACAGAATCGCGGCGAGCGCGGCGCCGAAGCTCAGCCCGACTTGTTGATCTCGCCCAGGCAGCCGCCGCCGCCGCGGGCGAGCGAGAGGAGCGGGAGGTGGCGGAGGCGCCGCCCGACCGCGGTCCTGCCCGCCGCGCGCCCCGCGCCCGCCCGCGCCCCCTGCCTCGGAGAGCGCGCCCGGCTCCGCGGCGCCTGCAGCCCCGGCGCGTCGCCTGCCCGGCCGGGGTAGGCCGGGCCCAGCCCGGCCCCGGGACCGCCGCTGCCCGCGGGCGGGGGCGCCCGGGCGGCCGGGACGATGCGCGGTCCCTGGCCCCGGGAGGCGGCCGCCCTGGGGGTGAGTGTTGGGGCGCGCGGGCGGCGCGGGGACGGGGGCACACGGGCAGGGGGCTCGCCTGCCGCGGCTCGGCCTGTTGGTCTGCCCGGGCTCCGCGGCTCCCAGCTGGGGGTGGGGGGCGGACAAGGGCTGGGGCCCGAGGCGACGCGCGATCCCCATTCTGGGGCGAGGGGTGAGGACGTGTGCCCCACATGCTGTGGGCTCGGGGAACCCCCCGAAATCACCAGTGAGCCGTGGAAGGAGGGCACGTTTTGAAAGGCCAGAAAATTCAGCTCCTTTCCCCGCCTCCCACCTCCCCCACCCCTTCCCTTCCAAGCCCGGGGAAAGGCGCAGAACCCGGAGTTATAAAAAGCCATCGCAGGAGAGGAGCGAGGAGGAGGAGGAGGAGGAGGAGGAGGAGGAGGAGGAGGAGCAGCAGCTAGGGGAGGATGGAGCAGGCGGATTCCGAGCACTCCTCGTGCCCCTCCTGCGGTGGGGTAGGGGGCGCAGAGGGAGGGGCGGAACCCCGCAAGAGGCTTGGCTTTGCGTCTTTCGGGCCCACCCAGTCGCCCGAGCGACCTCCCGAGGTGCCCCGGTGATATGTGCAGAGGGGTCGCTCCGGGGCAGAGGGACAGGTGAACACGCTGCCCACGGTGACCTCTGACAGGTGGGCATCTGGAAGTCCCCAGAATCTCCCCGAGATCTTTAAAGATTTAGAAAAAGCAAACCCACTGCCATTCCCCTGCCCCCATCCTGGTTATCTCCAGCAAAGGAAGGTGGAAGATGAGAAGTCATTTTAAAAAGGAAGGAAGGAAGGAACAAAGTTTTTCATGCTGTTCCCCTCCCTCCACATTGCGGGGCCAGGTTCGGGACTCAAACGAGAGACCCACAGGGAAGGGAGTTTCAGCACTCGACGGGGCGGACAGCGCCCCGAGTGGCTAGGTCGCTCCAGGGCCGCGGAAGCCCAGGGTAGGGCTTCCGGGGGTCCAGGGGCTCCTTCTGGGGCTCTCTCCCCGCCCCAAGGGCGGCCCCTCCCTCCATCCATGGGGTGGGGCGGACTTCAGCACCGGCGGGAGGGACAGCGTCCAGCCGTCCTACCCCCTTGAGCCGCTTAAACCTCGAAGGTCAAGGTCTGCGGGGACCCCAGCGGAAAGGCGGGGAGGAGCCATGCCCAGCTCCGGGTTTGCTGACCCGCGTCCGCTTTCGCTTTCTGCCTTGCAGCCGTCGGGATGGAGGTGAGAAGGCGGCCGTGACGCCCGCCCGCGCGAACCCCTGCACCCCAGCAGCCCACAGCGCTCCCTGCCCCCCTCCCCCGCGGCAGAGGGCCTTGCCGTCCAGTGACAGCGGCCTGGGGGGGCAGGGGGGGCGGGGGCGGCCGGACCAGCGATGCCGGCGGGCATGACGAAGCATGGCTCCCGCTCCACCAGCTCGCTGCCGCCCGAGCCCATGGAGATCGTGCGGAGCAAGGCGTGCTCGCGGCGCGTCCGCCTCAACGTCGGGGGGCTGGCGCACGAGGTGCTCTGGCGCACCCTGGACCGCCTGCCCCGCACGCGGCTGGGCAAGCTCCGGGACTGCAACACCCACGACTCGCTGCTGGAGGTGTGCGACGACTACAGCCTCGACGACAACGAGTACTTCTTCGACCGCCACCCGGGCGCCTTCACCTCCATCCTCAACTTCTACCGCACCGGGCGGCTGCACATGATGGAGGAGATGTGCGCGCTGAGCTTCAGCCAGGAGCTGGACTACTGGGGCATCGACGAGATCTACCTGGAGTCCTGCTGCCAGGCCCGCTACCACCAGAAGAAGGAGCAGATGAACGAGGAGCTCAAGCGGGAGGCCGAGACGCTGCGCGAGCGCGAGGGCGAGGAGTTCGACAACACGTGCTGCGCCGAGAAGAGGAAGAAGCTCTGGGACCTGCTGGAGAAGCCCAACTCCTCCGTGGCGGCCAAGGTGAGGCCGGGGTCCGGGGCTGGGGGCCTGGGCGCTCAACCCAGGCCAGGGCCATGACTGGGGACTCCGCGGCATTCGCCACGATGAAGCCCAGTAAGAGAGGGGCTCTGGCCGCGCCCCAGGGGTGAGGACCAACACCCTCTGACTCCTCCTAAGGGCGCGGATGGCCTGACCTTTGATGTTTCAGTGCTGTGTCGGCCCACCTTGTTGGGGGAAGTGATTCACAGGGTTTACAAAGAGCCACAGCCAGAAAGCCGGGGCGGAAGGAAATGGAGCTTGCTGGGCCGGGGCAGAGCTGGGTCTGGTTCCCTGAAGTCCCAAGCCCAGGCTGGAGAGGGCAGCTCTGGGCAACCCCTCTTGCCCCAGGAAGAAATAAAAGCAGCTGCCAGGTGTGTTAGAGGGTGCCGAGATTCTGCCGGGTAGTCTCAGCAGAAGTAAGGAAAACGCGGCAAAGGGACACTGAGGGGTGGGTGGACGATACCGTGCCCGCCGCTGGCGTGGGCCTGTGGACAGGGCTGCTGGCTCTTTCTTCATTTCTGGGTTGGGTGAGTTTCTTCCCGTAGTGGTTTGATGCAGCGTGTAAAGGTGCCTTGGCTGCTGGAGGAGGGGGCTGCCTGGTGACGGTGGAAGTCGAAGGAACTGGGAATGGCGGGGGCAGGGGCAGGAGCCAGGGCAGGGCATGTGGTGACCGGCTGCTGGGCAGCTCATCTGAGTCTGGCGGGGATTCAGGGTGCCTGGAGAATTGGGGCCTGTCCTCATGTGGCCGGCGGGCTGGGCGTAGGGGTAGATGATCACAGTGTGCTCATGACTACGGGGGTCCAGGAGAGAGAGAGGTTGATGGTGAGATCCAGCAGGGTTGGTTTGGGAGAAGATGATGCACTCCTGGGGGGGGGGGCAGGAAAACAGATTCATGGCACAAGGAAAGGGGGAGGGGACGTCCTGCGTTCAGCTGTGACTTATGAGCTGGGGGGCCATCCAGCCTAGGCTCTCAGCCTGGGGTCACTCAGCGCCTCACTGGCCCCTGGTCTGAAGGGGACTGTGTAGGTCCTTTCCCAGGTCTGGCTGCCCCAGGAGACACCGTGGGAGAGGGCGGCCCCTAGGAAGGCGGAAGGAGCCTTGCCCATGGACCCTAAAAAGGACAGGGAGGTTCCCAGACCTGGCTTCCCCCCGGAAGCTGTGGGCGGCCGCTGGCCATAATCCTGCCCCCGGGTTTCGTGTCCAGAAAGCCTCCCTCTGAGCACAGAGGCCCCGGCCCCTAACCGGCTTAGGATCAACAGACTTATTTTGCTATTTCCAGGCCTGACACAGGTCCCACCACTGCACATCCTGGAGGTGCCAGCACGCGCTCCCTCCTCCCCGCTGTCCCAAGACGGGAGATCAAGGGGCAGGAAATGGGCGGTGCCCTCCCTCTTGTGAAGAAGCAGGCAAAGGGCACGTTGGTGTGGCCATCTGGCAGGGCGCAGGCGCTCCGGCTTCAGGAGGCAATGTTTGGGTACAGGCAGCCTCTCCTCTCCCTCGGGTTAATCCGCTCACCACGGGGACGAGCTCTGTGACCTCTCCATGATCCCAGACTGGGCTGTCAGTTCACATTCCTGGCAGATGGACCGTCTAGGATTTTCTGCAGCCAGGGCTGAAGTAAGGAAGGTGGACAGGCTCACTGTCTCTAGTGTAGGTTCCTGACTGCCATTGAGCAAATACCTAACACATAGTGGGGCTCAGAAAGACGAAGTAACTTGCCTAAGGTCACACAGCAGGCTAAGAGGAGTAACCAGAAATTCAAACCCAAGTGTGACTTTGAACACCCTGTTCCTTCCACACGATTAAGTACCTCAGCCTCCTCCCCGGTTTCCCTGCTTCCCCGTTTGCCCCCTGCAAGCCATTCCCCACACAACCACCAAAGTGAACTTTTCAAAATGTAAATTGGATCACATTATTCATCTATTTAAAATCCTCCCGAGGTTTCCCAGCTATTCAGAATAAAATCGAGACTCCGTCACGGCATTCGAGGGCCTATAGAGTCTGCTCCTCGGGACCTTTCTGAGCTCATGTCCTCCATTCTCCTCTAGTCCATTCAATTCTGGTCCCACTGACCTCCTTGCTGTTCCCACCCAGGCCAGGCCTTATCCTACCTCAGGGCCTTTGCACCTGCTGCTCCCGCTGCCTGTGATGCGCTGCCCCAGCCTGTCCCACAGCCAGCTGTTGGCCCTCATTCCCCACTTGAGCAGTGGCCACAGAAGGCCTTTCTTGACTCCTGTCCATCGAGGCCCCTCCCCTCACTCGGCCGCACCATGCTGTGTCTTTCCTGCCTGGGCCTTGTGCACCTTTGAATCGTGTTTGCTTCCCGTGTGTCTGTTTCACACTCACAGGAGTGTGAGCGCCGTGGAGTCCATGCACCGCCTGGTTCCCAGCGGGCGTCGCGGTGCCTGGCCCAGAGGTGCTCCAAAGAGCTGCTCCAAGGAGCTGCCTGGGAGTGAGTGAGTGAGTGAGCGAATGGTGGGGAGTGCACAGATGGCCGCCGCCGTCTCGGGTCTGGGAACCTGCCGACCTCACTGCCCGCCTGTGGGCGAGCGTGTCCTCTGGGCCTTTGGCCTCCACGGTCATCGGCATTTGGCCTGCCTCAGCCCCCCAGGTGGGACGCCTGGCCTGTCACAACAGGGAGGACCACGGCCTTTCTCAGAGGCCACAAAGGGAGACGACAAGTGGGGGGTCATTCCCAGGGGGCTGTGAGGTGCAGACGTGGCCACATGTCCCAGTTGAAGGACAAGGACAGACCCTCTCTCTAGGCCAGCTCCGCCATCTCCCCAGCCTCGGACCTTGGGCGGTTTCTTCAACCCTCTCAGCCCCCCCCCCGCCCCCACCCCCAACCCCCACCTTCCCCTCCCCCACCCACCTTCCCTCCCCCTTCCCCTCCCCCACCTCACCTACCTTCCCCCCACCCCCCACCTGTGAAGTGGAGGCCCAGCTCGCAGCCTCTACACTGTCGAGGTTCAGCTCAGCACCTGGCAGAGCAGGTGGTGTTGGGGTGAGGAGAGCAGAGTCCTTCTGGGCCCGGTGGGCTGGGTGGCCCCAGACCCACTCCTTCTGCCCGCAGGACCAGGAAGGCAGAGCCGAGCGTTAATAATTGATGGGATGTTCTGGCAACTCGAGCAAACAAGAGCACAGGCCTCCGCTGCTCTGTCAGGGGAGCAAAAATCAAAACCCATTAGGCAGAAGGCGGCTTGACTGGTTCCTGTGTGGAGGGGGTCAGCCCCACCCGGTGTCCCTGTAGAGGTGCTGGGCCGCCATTGGACTTGGGCTTTCTGGGAGAACTGTAGGCTTCTCTCGGTGGAGCGAGGGGCACCCCTGGACTGGCCCTGAGTGTCTGCCTTCTCTGGAAGGCCCAGGTTTCTAGAGTAGCTTCTGTTGATGGTGCCGGGCTCGGTCAGGGGACTTCGTGTGCGCTGTCTCACCGAAATCCTTCCAGCGAGCTGATCAGGTGCTTTGTCCAGCAGGGCTGCTCTGGGCTGTAAGTAACAGAATGGAAAAGTCCAGGCGGCTTCCATAGGAAAGAGGAGGTGAACCATCCCATCCCGTGTAGCCCACTTTCCAGGGTGACTGGGGTAGGGCGGAGTTGTTGGCTCCACGATGCCCTCAGGGTTCTAGACTCTACTCCAACCCCTGCCAATGACTTGGTCCTCAGCTGGAAGCCTCACATCACAAGATGGCTGCCCAGTTCTAGTCCTCAAATGGAGACCCAATGATGTCCTACCCAGGAAGAGGGGCATTTTCTCCACTGTTTTTCCTTGGGGGGAGATCTTTCCCCGGAGCATCCTAGCAGACTTTCGTGACAATCCTGTTGACCAGGATCAGGCCGCAGGCTCGTGCTTTAGCTGTAGGGGAAACTGGGAAAGCAGGCCTCGAGCTCTTCCAGGCAAGGGAAGGCAGAGTTTGATCCGTGATGCCAAGACCCTTCTGCAGGAGAGGAAACGGCGGCTCCGGGAGCGGAGGCCACTCGCCCGGCTCGCTCAGCTCAGCGGTCAGTAAACGCTCATCAGAGAGTGCGAGCGGCAAAGCCGGGTGTGTCCACGTCCCTCTGGTCCCCAAGCCTGTGCTCCTGAGCCCTGGAAACTGGGGCAGGGCGTTTAAGCTCCCTGAGCTCATGCCCTGAGCCCCTGCCACCTCGGGGCTGCGGGGACGGGGCACTGAGATTTCAGACGTGAGTGGAACTTGGAACTAGGGAGCGCCTGGGTCGGAACCTCTGTTGTTCTACTTAAAGGTGGGAGTCGTGCTCAGGGACGGTGTCCTGTGGTGGCCTGGGTCCACCCACATCAGCTCTGAGGACAACTCCTCTTCCCAGGAGGGTGACTTTGGACAAGTCCCTCTCCTCCTCTGCGTCTCAGTTTCCTACCCGTGAAGTGGGAATTAGAGAGGCAGCCACTGGGGCCATTTAGAGAAAAAAAGTCCACCTAAAGCCGTTCCCCCGGGGCCTGGCCCTCGGGAGCCCTCGCGGGCCGCAGCGTGCTCGCAGGTCCTCCCCAACTCCTCTTGGCAGCCGACGTGCCCTGGTGCCGACTGTGGGGTCACTGTCCGTGGTCCTTTGGGGTTCTCTGCTTCTTGTAAGGCTGCGGCCTCCTTGGCCTGAGCCGGGGGTTCATGCATGATTCTCAGGAAAAATGAGGGGACCCTGGGGCTCTGAGTCATCCAGCCGAGGCTCTTGCTGGCCCCGCACGTCCCAGATGGCTGTTTGTGTTTGGGGGACGATCTGGCAGACATTCAGAAGGCTGGCTGTGGGTCACCCAGCCCTGGGAGAGATGTAAACGGGAGAGATGACAAACCCGCCCCCAGGGCTGTCCCAAGGGTGACTTGGGATGGCCTGTGGGGGTTTTGAAGCCAGGCTCCATAAACCCATTATGTCATTTGATCAGGGACACCCGGAGGCCCCAGGTGCTTCCGTGACCTACCTGGGTCACATGGCAAATCAGTGAAAGGTCCAGGGCTCGCCCTAGGCCTTTCTGACCCCT